GCACGCGATGGGCCTCATTTATATGTCGTGTGGTCATCACGTGTTGGGTGCGCCGTTTGAGGCAAAGCAAATGCCGGCAAATGTTGCTTTTTTGTGCAGACAAGTCCGTGGTAAGGTGTCCGAGTAGAGGCGAATGGTGCGCGTAAAGCGGGGAGCCGAGGAAGAGAGGACAAAAGACAACGGTGGTGACTAACGGCGATCAAGCTGAACTGCAATAGAAGCCATGTAGGTATGGCAAAGATCCCAAGGTGATCTCACATCGATTAGTATGTGATAGCGTTAGGCGTCTTACCGTACTGCATTTGCGGAATGCCTATAACTCGCGCGAATTCACAATCCAGTAACAGTACAACGCAGAGTCACGACTCGAATCCGTCCGTTGGCCGGTACTTTGTCGCGTTCTTCTGGGGGTCCCCAAAGTTGTGTGATCTGGGTGGTGGTTGTGGTTTGGATTTCCAGGAGAAGGGACGGAGAAATGGAGAGAAACGGTACACAAATCATTTTAGCCACAAACTCTCACGTTTGCAGCCGGCTGTTCCTCCTCCCTGCCATTTGGACGGCCGATATTAATACTTCGACGCGTCACCGCCTACCTCAACTATTGGTGTGGGTAAACAATGATTTAGGACCGTATCCTGCGGAAAATGGTCTATCGGAATGGAAACAGCTGAGTATGTTGTGTGCTTTGATAATCGAGGTGTGGGAGCAACTGTGCCTCCACAATTGTAACCAACTCCGCGGGAGGGTGTCACCAGGCTTTCAGTTACACCGAATCTCGTGTCGTTTAAATCACAGCACGCCCATTAATTCTACAATCAGCAAAAAATACTAGTGACAAAGAGAAAGGCAGTCCGAAGCTAGTAGTTATCGAATGTCGAATTTACTCCCTTGGGGCTCTACTCGGGCCAACCACAGCATTCGTATACGACGGCAATTCCTTGACCGACGACAACATCTCCTTCGATTGCTTGATATTATCAATCTTCTTCCTGAGAGCGATAGCAGCTGGGTCCGCCGACCAATTGTTATACGCCTTCAAAGCCTCTTCCGCTTTCCTAACCTCCGCATCGATAATCGAGAGACACATATCCAAGTCCGTTTTCCCATTTCCCTGAGCTACAGCTCTTGTAGCAGCCTCCAGCTGCTCCCTAACTTCGGGTATCAGCTCGTTGTGCTTCAACCACAAGATGGCGAGCCAGAGAACCATGGCCGCAGGATCTTCCACATCAGCAACGACATCAATCAATTCGGGATTGTCGAGGCAACGACGGAAAGGTCGAGAACCGTCCGGAATGGCGGCAAAGTACTCCAGGAGCTTCCATTTCTTCGTGACGATGTGCGGACGCCAATGAGGAGAGTTGATCATTCCGAAGAGGACAGCGAGAGTGGCTTTCTGGACATCATCGGCATGCTGAATGCCGTCGACACTGTGGGCCCAGTCGATACAGAACTTTTTCATCTGATCAGACTCCATTATCGGGCGGTCAGTGTTGAACCATTTATCCCCAATAAGAGGGAGGAAGAATAGAGCAGCCTTGCGAAGCTGGAACGGCTTATGCTGTTGGTACACGTAACAAATACCGCGCACAAACGAGGGTTCTGTAGGGTCGAACTTGCTGAGGGCGTCGATAGTCGTCTGGTCGGAAGCATACGCCAACGCACGCATGGCGTTCTGGATTGGTATATCCCATTCATTTCCTGAACTCTTGGATGCCATATCGAAGTGATGGTCGAGGAAGGTGAGGATATCCTGGGGATCCTTGACCCAAGGCAATGACTTGTCCCATTTGTATGCACCGTGTAACGTAAGGCGGGCCGCTTCCCACTTCTTCTTCGTCGTGAAGTCATACAAGACGGGGGCTTGCATCACAACGTGGAACAGAGCGTAACTCTTTAGGGCAACGTCCCGACGAGGAAGAAGTCCGATCAAGGTCATCGCTGAGAATGCGTGGTCGAGCTGGTCCTGAGTCAGTTGAGGTTGTTTCATTATCGCGGTGAGACTGTCGAAGATCTTGATGATGTGGGATTCGAGTTCCCGGCTGTGAAAGGCATATTGAATCCACGAAATACGAGACCATCAGCGAACCTCGTACCTCTTGTCGACCACCGACAAGTCGTCCACGTGGATATTGATCCCAATGAGCAGACCAATCATCATCAAACAATCCGCAACGATGGCATCCGAGGGAGGAGGATCCATCGACAACGAGTAGCAGATGAACCCGGTCACGTCATCACCAAGCTTTCGAGAAGATCCAAGGATATCCCAAGCACGATAGAGTAGGATATAGGCCATCCAACTGTGATGCCCGACCGACAACTTAAGCCTGTCCCAGGCGATCTCTTTGCCCTTGCCCAACACCTGGTCGATTATCCCTAGCGTAGACTCAAGCTCTCCATTGTCGGTATAGCGTCGTGGACCGAATGCACGATGTTTCGCAGCGATAGTCGTCGCATCGGAATTGTCCCCAAGACATTTACGTTGGACAAGGACATGGAGGACGGCTTTGGCACTGAGGTAGGCTTGGTCTCTATATCGCGAGAGAACAACAGGGGGGACGGATTGTTCATCAAAGCATTCGAGGAGAGTGTCGTATATCCTCTGAAGAGGGACCGACTTTATACCCGCGTGCCAAACAATCTCGGGTACGAATCTGACGATAGCCTTGAGCACGTCCTGCTCGATCGGCTTCTCCAACATCCAAGTGACGCAATCGGCGTACACCACGTAACCATCCCAATCCGTGTCCCTGTGAGTGAAGAGAGGACCAGGGTCCGCTGCGAGGGTCCACATGGGCAACAGTGGATCTCCAGCTTTAGATTTGGGACGGTTGGGACGAGGCCTTGCAACTTGAGGACGAGAACGCCAGCTCTCTGGAAGCCATCGGTGAGCGAAGTAGTGAAGGATGAGGGAAAGTGAGGTCTGGTAGGGACAATGCCCGGAAAATGTCGCCGCAAGGCTACTAATAGTGTAAAAGAAGAGATAGAAGGACGTGAACCCGACTACAACCCCTGCAATTGTCTGTTCGAGGAAGAAGAGGTAGTACGTAAGGCCAGAACCAAGGAGAACGAGAGCTGCCTGGTGCATCAATGGCAGGCAGTCCATAACGAGGTTGAAACGCCAAGTGTCCATCCCGTCTATCTTCAGTTTCCTGTTCCGGATGGAACTAACGGACGACCCACGTTCTGGTTTGGCGTAGTGGTTTAACCATTGCCGACCCAAAATGGTGACGAAGGCGGCAGTGAACGAACAGCACAGACTTGAGTACAGGATCGCTTGGACGCGGACGACCGCCTTCTCTGGACCGTTCCATTGAGGGACGCCACTTTTGACGGGAACCTCCCCAGCGACAACTTGTAATACGGCGAAGCTCATCTTCTGGTAATCTGGCCTCAGTTCGCTTTGCACGTCAACGATGAACACAGATGTGACCGCGGATAGCAGTCCAGCCTGAAGCCGCCGTATATTCAGGGTCACGGAGTGATGTAGCACACACGAGCAAAGAACTTACGAAAATGAGGGTGGTGTCCAAGTCGCCATATCTCTTGAACACATCCTTATCATATTCATTGGCTTCGCGTTGGAACTTCTCGTTGAATTCTACGTGAGCGTTCTTGCTTGCGTTGGAGAACCTGGAAGTTGACACATCCTTTCCTTCCTTCGGTCCAATGACCTCGCTAAATAGACGGAATCACCGCTGAGCATCGTAAGGGGAAACGAAAAGTCTGAGATACACACGGTTTAGGATTCTCAACCGTAACGGGACCAACAACGCGCTTCGCCATGATGAGGGATTCGGGCGGAAGCAGAGCTCTAGTTTCACAGGGCCCTCGGGTGTGGGTGTGAATCGTCAACGTCCGAGGAGCGAGTCACGAGGGAAGCCACCTCGCCCAAAACTCTGATTTTATTCCGCGCAAACGGAGATAAGAGCCGAGGGTTGAAGCTGAGCGGGACCTGATGGGCGCTGACGCATGGCAGTGTGCTGTCAATCTAAATGTAGGTCGTGGAGGTCTTCCCCCCTCAGTCGGGATGGTGACTTGTGATTCACAAAAGATTCGCTGCCCCGACAAGCGTCGAGATTAATGGACCTGGGCAACTTGCGTTTGTGCCCAAGACGCCCATCTGCTCGTTATATTAGCGGGGGATAACACACAAAAATGAACCATAGAGCACTTACCAGTGTAGCCAGTTGGTGTCGTGAAATCCATGGGATGGCTGGATAAACAAAGACCGAGACGTTTGTTGTCGTTTACGACGAGGATACAGGATTGTGGATCAATCATAGCGGCGCCAGCTGTACAGACAACCACTGGACTACATCAAATCCACCAAATGTTCTTTACACTTCTTTCCACGTTCGTCTCCGAAATGTTTAGGTAACATGGGAAATACTAGGACCTCGGGAAAGTCTACCGATGTGTTGAGTCTCGAAATGCACAGGACATGAGGCAGTTGGAAAGTCATCGGACGTGTGGCGGGGGAGTAGCGAGGCCGTTCCAAAACAGATGGTTTCCCTCCCTCCACACTACAAATCTTATATGCCCTCCACTTCGCGCGAAGTCTCAGATCCAACCAATCCTCACCGACGCCTTCCAGTGCAAGAGGCTATATTACGGTCGCAAGCGGGTTTCCCCTCCATACGCAACTGCGAAGCAGCAGCGATCAGCCGGAGTCCTCTTGCAGTCACCTAAATAACCGCAACATGGATAACCTCCGGCCCTGTAAGAACTCAAGATACGAAGAGGTCTTTCTGAACACAATTTGAGAGTCTCGGCGGAGGGAGGAACGATTGAAGTAAAGAGAGTCGTGTCTTTGCGACAAGAGAGGTGAAGCTGAAGTGCCGAGTCCTGGTAGGAGGGCGCTCGTATGTGTCGATAAACTCTGCAACGATGGACAGGGAAACTTTGGACTGCGTACGAACCACTCGGAGATGACGCTTGGGTCTAGTGGGGTAGACTCGGCCGTGTTAGGGCGGGCCCCGTCGTTGGGCTCCCGTAATAGTTCGGTTGCGTAGTTGGTTATCGCATCTAACATACAGAAGGTCCCTGGTTTGAGCCCGGGCCGAATCATTTTTATTTCTCAATAGGTCGAGGACTCATGGCGTATGGGCGTAGTGCTCAATGGTCGGATCCTCAGATGTGGAAACACCGCCAGCCTGTCATTTCCGGTCTTGAGGAGGCCGATGACTGTGTTCCGTGCATCAACGTTCAGTTGGCGTGAACCACGGTCAGGTAGAGGTGATGGTAGCTGTGTTTCATGGAGAATTCGAGCCCCACGAAGGCAAGCATGGGTGCTCCTGAAGGTACCTTGATCGGACCCAGACTTGCGAGCTGTTATCAAAGTTTCTTCGTGCCATGTAACCATAACCGTTGTCGTGAAAGGTTACTAACAGGCAAGGGTTTACACCGCTGGAGTATATTAATCCACTCGCTTATGGCACACGTATCTAAAGGTAGGATTTGTCTGCGTGATATATGGTTGGAGTGGTCACTTTACAAGTTAGCCACTATGATCTTTTATGATCCCTTCAATGTGGGATAGTCCTATACGTCCTCTCACCTGCGACACCTGCGTGCGTTTGATAGCGTAAATAGAGAAACCCGTTATCAGACATCATGTGAACCGTACCAGTCGATTGCGACATGGGTACGACCACCTGAGTGAGAGAGGATGAGTGATTGTGGGAACATCGATCTAGGCTTGGTCGTTTCTCGCTCGAGGCCACGCCTCGGCAGGACACTATCTCGCTGTCGTTCCTAAATACGCCCTCAAGAACCATAACGTGGACTCGGAATGGACCAGACCACTAGCAGTTTCAATGACTCCCCCGCCCCCACTCGCCTCAACACCCTAGATGCACGTCCCAGGGTTCGCGATGCGGTCTAGAGCCGATACTCCACATTGACCTACCGCCCCTCAGTGATGGTATAAAGCCTTTAGATTAGAGACATACTCTACTCATCATCACACCTACTCCTACAACCCCCTTCCTACAGCTCCCCTCCTATCATTGTCTTCATCCCTATAGTTCATAATGCCAGGAGAGGTACTCGACCGTCCCAACCCCCCACCCGGGAAGTCTCAACTTCCGGATTCTATCCTCGAATACCATGTCAACCTCAAATTTACTACTGCGCTCACCTCGGAGGAGCTCCAGGCGATCACCAAGTTCCGTCGTGCGGCTGACTACATTGCTGCAGCTATGATTTTCCTCAAGGACAACGTCCTGCTAGAACGTGAGATCAAGCCCGATGATATCAAGCCGAGGTTGCTTGGACATTGGGGAACTTGTCCCGGATTGGTTCTGACCTATGCGCACTTGAACATGCTCATCAGGAAAGAAAATGAGAAGATGATATTTGTTGTTGGCCCAGGTATGTAAATTTTCCTTAACTATATGTGCAATTTCAGACCTCTAACACCCTCTTAGGACACGGTGCACCTGCTATCCTGGCCACCCTCTGGATCGAGGGTTCCCTTGCAAAGTTTTTCCCTCAGTATAGTCTCGACAGAGCTGGTCTTGAGAACTTGATCGCCGGTTTCTCTACCCCAAGCGGTTTCCCTTCCCACATCAACGCCGAGGTTCCGGGATCGATTCACGAAGGTGGTGAACTCGGATATGCTCTTGCTGTTGCTTTCGGTGCCGTCATGGATAAGCCCGAGTTGATCGTCCCAGTGATCATTGGCGACGGCGAAGCTGAAACCGGACCCACAGCCGCGTCGGTAGATTCTATCTTTGCAAATCCGCTGCGTGTTAACTCCGCGTTTACAGCGCCTGGCATGCTGCCAAGTACATCGACCCAAAGGAGTCGGGAGCCGTTCTACCGATCGTTCATGTTAACGGTTTCAAAATCAGCGAACGAACCATCTACGGGTGTATGGACGACAAGGAGATGACTGCTCTTTTCACTGGTTACGGCTACCAGGTTAGGATCGTAGGCAACGATCTCGCGAACATCGACCAGGATATGGCTGCTTCCCTCCAGTGGGCTTTGGGTGTGATTCGATCCATTCAAAAGGCCGCTCGTGAGGGCAAGCCCATCTTCAAGCCCAGATGGCCTGTCATCATCCTCCGTACTCCAAAGGTGCGTGCGATCCCGTCCGGTTACTTATGATCGGTGACCGAGTCCCCCATCCACAGGGTATGGGTGCTCCTACGAAGTACAAGGGAGAATTTATCGAGGGTTCCTTCCGTGCTCATCAAGTTCCAGTTCCCGACGCTAAGACTGACGGCGAAGGTCTCAAGATCCTCCAAGAGTGGCTCTCATCGTACAGCCCTGCTGAGCTCTTCACCGAAAAGGGAAGACCCGTAGATGAGGTCCTCTCTGTTGTCCCTCAGGACAAAGAGAAGCGCCTCGGTCAGGTCAAGGAGACTCACGCTGGACGTGAACCCATCGTCGTTCCTGGTTGGAAGGAGTTGGCAGTCGCAAAGGGCGGCGAGGAGTCATGCATGCGCTTGGTTGGCAAATACATGGACAAGGTCTTCCTCGCGAACCCAACCAGCACCAGGATCTTCTCCCCTGATGAACTAGAGAGTAACAAGCTTGCTGCCGTATTCGGGAACACGGGTAGGAACTTCCAATGGGACGAATACTCCTTCGGTCAGGGCGGACGGGTTGTCGAGATTTTGAGTGAGCATACTTGCCAAGGTCAGTTGGAATGAATGTCCGATTATTTAGTATCTACTGACACTTCTACTTCCAGGAATGCTTCAGGGCTACACAATGACTGGACGAACCGCCCTGTTCCCGTCTTACGAGGCCTTCATCGGTATCGCGCAGACGATGATGGTCCAATACGCCAAGTTCGTCAAGATGGCCAAGGAAACCAACTTCCGCGCCCCTAACGCTTCTCTCAACTACCTCGAGACGTCCACCTGGACCCGCCAGGAACACAATGGTTTCTCCCACCAGAACCCGTCGTTCATTGGTGCCGTCCTCAATCTCAAGGCTGATGCTGCTCGCGTCTATCTCCCACCAGATGCAAACTGCTTCTTGAGCACGATCGCTCATTGCATAAACTCGAAAAACTACGTCAACCTCATGGTTGGATCGAAGCAGCCCACAGCTGTTTGGCTTAGCCCGGAGGAAGCTGATATCCACTGCCGAGCTGGTGCTAGCGTCTGGAGGTTCTGTTCTACCGACGAAGGTCTCCGTCCAGATGTCGTCCTCGTTGGTATTGGCACAGAGGTCACATTCGAAGTCATCGCCGCCGCCGCTCTTCTTCGCACGCTCGCCCCAGAACTTCGCGTAAGGGTCGTGAACGTCACCGATCTCATGGTCCTCGGACCCTTCGGTTCTCACCCACATGCTCTTTCGGACACCGACTTCGAGAACTTGTTCACTAAGGACAAGAAGATCGTCGTCAACTACCACGGTTATGTACACGACGTGGCTGGGTTGGTGTTCGGTCGTAAAGGGGCAGAGAGGATGCACATAGAGGGTTATAGGGAGGAAGGAAGTACGACCACCCCCTTTGATATGATGTTGAGGAACCACGTATCGAGGTACCACGTTGCTGGAGAGGCTGTTAGGGGAGCTGCTCTTTTCAATGAGCGTATTGCCCTGAGGTCTATGGAACTCGGTGGCGAGTTGCAAGGAAGGATCAAGCGTGATCAGAAGTATATCTTCGAGTACGGTGCTGGTGAGTCTCAACGATCTCTCCGCGGTATCCTTGGGTTTGTTTGCTTACACATTTCTTCCCCATAGATCCCGCTGGAACTTATGACGTTCCCACTTTCAACTAACCTCGTCATCCCCGAGAAGCTAAGCGGTCAAAATCGACGTCGTCATGTGTAGCATGAATTCTCCTTAGAATATTTTCAAAGGCCGTTTTTATCGCCTGTATCCCTGTATACTACGATAGTACCAATGTTGTCGGTTCCCATTAAACGAAATATAAACGCGCCCTATCTACTGTGGAAACCTTGCGCAGCTAAGATCATCGACATCATGAGATGAACCTTTGGGAAGACCCTAAGGCGAGGCAGCAGAGAGTGAGGCAGTTCTTTCAACGCGCAGACCAGAAGTTTTCCAACGACAGACCATCTGCAGATCTTCAACGTGTCAGGAGAGCCATAGAATATTCCCCTCAAACGGGTAAGCTAGGGTCTTGAAACGTGTGCGCACTGGCAGGACGGCGGCTTTGGTCACCGATTCGAATGTCGAGTAGTTATAGAGGCCCTTCGCGTTTGTGCATCGTGCCTGTAATCTCAGCGAGTTCGCAATTGAGCCTACATGTGGTCGGAAGCACTTCGAACACGGTTCTTCATACTTCCATTTCGCGCTTTCGACGTTCTGCTGGATATTCACGATTGTATAGGTCTTGTTACAGGCTGATTTCCGTTGCTTCATTTACATAGAGTCCATGGTCATGCTTGCGATTTGCAGCCGCATCTGCATTTAATATTGCCGGGTTTTGTCTTCGTATACAGGAGATAATACTGCGTGGTAAAGGTCAACATAGCCCGACCGTGCACCGCGCCGCAGAACCTACAATCCAAAATGAACACTACCACGCCAAGAGTCTATAGAGGTATAGCTATACTACAGATTGCTGCTTTCGTGTATACGCGTAAACCAGCGCTGCGAGTCCCACTGGGATTGCGAACTTTAAAATCCTTGGGGCCAAAACCTTCGCTACGTCAATGCTAACACGAGCGTACGTAACGGCACTTGAGGGCAGATTAAAACCAAATGCGAAATACCGAAGAAGCGTGCTCACGTAGACAGGCTTGCAGCCCTGGCGCTCAGAATATCATAAACGCCTCCCTTGACGATTTCGTTTTCAAGCAACAACACGGGTCCATCATCGATCAACGCGAACACCGAACCAGTAGTTTCCAGGTCCGGGTGCGTCGCCGCATACAGCGTGGTAACTGCGATTCGGTTTATGGGGACCATGGGAAATCCTGCGAGGAAAATCATGTTGGCCGCGTTCAGGATGCCAGTCGCTGTACACTCCTCAGGGTTCACGTTCTGATGCCGGTGCGGTGTCGAAGAACTCACCGCTGAAGAAGGGGTGGATTATGTTAACACGGATGTTCCTGCCCTTAACTGCGGCCGCCACG